AATACTTGTGAAGCACACATACATAGCTCCTAAGACATAGGGCATGGTTAAAACATGTTCACTGTATTTTTATGTACCGATGTCTCATCATGAAGATATCTTTTGTGGCTTTGAGTTTTAGTTCTGGCTCAGGGAACATATATTCAAAGAATACTTTCACCAATAACTATTTCATTATGATGATCACATGTTATGAAGGTAACATTAAGGGTTGTGAGAGCTGATGTCAGGGGACCTGCCTTGTTCTGGAGTCAGGGATGTGACATTTACCCTGATGCTTAGGGGGTGAGCAGGACTTGGTTAGTAATGGAAAGTGGCTTCTGACAGAGGCAACGGCTAGCACAAAGTCCTAGGGGCATAAAGGAAGTCCTTAAAGGCTAGTACTTGGAAGGGGGCCAGTGTGGTTAGAGTGCAGGGGGAGGCATGATTATAGAGAGAGAGGTCATGCACAGCCTTGCACACTTCATGTTAAGATGTGTTTTATCCTAACTGAAGTGGTGGAGGATATGGCATGTGAACTCAATATTAAGGAGGGATCATGCATACACGAAGGGTGCTGGCTTTGGAGGGTCCATTCTAATTAAGGGCACAGAGAAAGGGACACTGGGAATCAGGAACCAGCGAGCAGTTAATCTTTTGCTATTAAAGACAGTACAGTGGTGATGAGTAGGTATACATAAGATAGTAAAGCATATAAGGACCAGACGATGGAAGGGCAGACATTTTGACTTTGGTATTTTGATATGCCATTAAACATCCTACAGTTTTGGGTAAGTAGAATGAAGGGTAATCGTTGTGTTTTCAACATATTGCACCAGCAGGTTTGGAAAGGGTGAGTGGAATGGGGAAGAGAGGAGGTGACACTAAATGACATACGGTGTTTTTATTAAATTGGGAGATGCTCATAAAAACCTAGATGAGAGACATGGATAGCCTGAATGTTGCACCTACACATTAATCACTCAATAAATATTAGTTTATCAAATAAACTGCATTTAAAGCAAAATAAAAGTAATTCTTGATAGGAGCAAAATGTTATACCCCAAATAGAGGTAAACTTTTCCTCCTCTCGCAGCATTTCCTATGGACCTTGGCATGCCAGCTACTTGCTATGATGCATTGTGATTATTTAGGGATAAGTATGGCCCTGCAAAGACTTTAGACTCCTAGAAGACAGAGACCAGGGATGGTATTTATTTCTGAATCTTCAACTCTGCCTCACATTCAGTAGGCACTTAACACATGTGGACTTCTTTCTGCAGTTGTTCAGTCTGCTCTAAACCCCAAATACCCCAGATTAAGGGATTTTTAACTCTTTTGAGATTTGATAAGAGTAATAAACTTAAGCTTTTGAGGCAGTGGCAGGTGGCTCAGAGTCCTGCACAAATAGGGCTAAATCTTACCTTTATTTGTGGATAAGGGAGTGGAGCCTCCCATTTCATCACTGAACATTTATTTATATTTCTTCCTATTTCTAGAAAAAAAAGCTGTTTGCCTGATTTTTGGTTTCCCTATTGGTTTTGCCTTTCCAATTTCTTAAGTTCAAACCTAAATGAAGCAACCTATAAAATCTAAGGTCAGACTGAAGATCAGAAACATATCTACTTTAAAGGTTCTGAAGCTGGGGTCCAGGTGTAGACATCTGTGAATGAGATTAGCAGAGAGGGAGTCTGAAATTCCATCCAAGATTTTGTGAGCATTTTTGTAAATACACTTTTCACAAGAGAAATGTCCCAAGGCAATCGTGAGATTCCAAAAAGGGCCCATGATTCTAAAAATATGATCCAATTCCTATCAACCATCATGGTGGAAAGACTAAAAAAAAACAGTATCATATTGACTCATTAAATGTCCTTGGAGAAAGGTCCCATTCTAGTATCACCTAAGATCAACAGACAGGAAGTTCTTTCTTATGTCTATCCTAAGTCTATCCTTCAGCACCTCCTCTCCATGCAAGCCCTTGGTAAATTCAGTGGAAATAGCAAACAGCTGCTCACCAACACCCACCCCAAAGAAAGAACAAGACATTTCTCACATATCTCAAGCTGCCTTAAATGTTCTTTCTTTGGCAAAGAAGAAAAAAAAGGAAATATATTTTTGGCCTCTAAACCTTTTCCCACCCATGTGTATTTCTGCAGAAATGTTATCCATATGGTTCCGATTGCTTCCTCCATAAGTCATTAGGAATGCTTTACACCGAGAACTTTTCTGATGACCAAGGAGTCTTTGGAGACTTTTAAAAATGGTCCTCTTAGCCTTTCTTTATAGAAACAAGGAAGCTAAACAGAGCCAAATGCAAATGAGCTCAGGCCTGGAAAGGTTGGAGTTTTCTTCAAAACTCAGAAATCATTAAGACTCAGTTGAACCTTAAATATGTCCATGCAAAGCCTTCACCTCCCACTCCAGGGACAAGAGCTGACAAATACTCCACTGGCACAGAGAATGCAATGGTCTCAGCCATTGAAGCTGATATTTAGAATTGGGTGCGGTGACCCCATTAAATTCTAAGCTATTCTAATTACCCCCAAGTCCACCCTATTATGTCCAGAGAACACAGTGAAGGTTTGGGACTTTGACTTGGGTACAGAATTCCTGACTCCATCACCTACTGGCTGCTGCACTTGAGCAAGCTACTCAAATTTTCCAAGCTCCAATTCCCTACTATGTACAAATGCGATAGCATTACCTATCTCCTATCTGTCAGCATTTTGAAAATTATGACAGCTAATTTAGTGAAGCCCCAAATGGAATACCTGGTGCATAGAAAAAAAAAAAAAAAAAAAAACCAAAACTCTCTCTTCTTGTCTTTCTCTGTCTAACAGCAGCTAAAAGTGGGGAGGGTTCTATGTTTCCTAAGGGAAACATTGATCTGTGGGGTACAGGAAAAGCAAGATGGAAAAATGTCCCATGGTGTTAAATACCTTCTTTCTAAGGCATCTGGATGACAGCACATCGTGAGAGAGTGATCGAGAGAGAGGAGCTAAGGGGACTCGGTCTGTACCTTGGTCCTTCTCTGAAGCTCCCTGCGTTGTTTCACACTGATGTCAGAGCTGTATTCCCAGTGCGGCTGCTTTTGCCTACTCTTAACTCAAGGAGGCATATCTGAGCTGGGGTGTAGGAGTGATAGAGAATTGGAGAGAAAGGGAGAAAAGAATAGAGGAAAGGATGGAGTGGGATAGAGAGCGACAGGGAGAAAAAACAGGGAGAATGAAGAAAGGAGGGAGGATGGGAGAAACAGCGTGTGATACTCCTTGTGGTTGGAATCAAAGTCAGAAACATCTCAGGAATCACTGGGCAGAATGTCACCCCGGGCCAGAAGCCTGGGAAGGAGAAAACTGGGGGAGCGAAAGGGGGGAACTTCCCACCAGGCAGAGGGAAATTGTGCCCTGGGTCAGTGGCTGGAGAGCTGTCCGTGGTGCTGACCGCGCGTCGTCGGGGTTAGGGCGGAGGAGGAGCAAAGAAGAGCTTTGAACCGGCTACTGTGCCCTTCCTGCACCCGGTTTCCTCAGTCCTGCAGTACGGAGACCCAGGCTCTTTATGGCCAGTTTTCTCTCCTTTTCTCTTTTTATTTCCCCTCCCTCCTTGTCAATTATTTCTTTTCATCAATTTTAGATTCCTCACTCAAGAATCTCTCTTGCATTTGGTTCAAAACTTCTGCTCCTGTCATTCACGAGCCTCTAGATCCTTTTAGGCCTTCCTAGTTATCATATCTCTCTCCTGTCACACTTTGGATAGTAATAACATTAATAACAATAGCAAGCCTAATTACAGATAACATGCTATGAGCACTCACTAGGTATCAGGCGGTGTTCTAAGTGCTTTTACTTATTTTAACTTATTTACACATACACCAGCCATGTTGTATAGATAGTTATATTATCCTACCTACAGATGAGGAACTGAGGATTAAGAGGCATGTAATTTGGGGAAGATCACATTGCTACAGGATTCTAACCTATCTAGAGCCTGCACTTTTCCTGACTCTGGGTTCCTTTAAATGTCTCACTGCTTTTCCCTTATTGATCGTTGCCCTTCCATGTGGAGTTTCACCGATGCTACCTACCCCTACTTAAGCTTCCAGGGACTAGGAATCTTCATTGCTGATTTGGTTTAATTTTGTTAAAAAGAAGCAAAGCAAGCAAACATACAGAATATGCACTGAATGAGAACACAAACTGTGTCCTGGCCCTCTTTTCTGCTTCTGGGAGAGGCCCAGTGTCAGCAACCCCAGGCTGCGTCTCAGGCTGAATTCGGAGTCTTCGGTTCTCTGTATTAGTGCCTGCGCCTCGCTCCCTCGCCCCTTCCCTGCCTCTGGTGGTATGGAGAGAACTTTGCGCACCCTCAGCTTCTCACTCCCACATCCTGCCCACGTAGAGAAGCACTCGCTTAATTCTGGGAGCTTACGTGGGCTCATGCCTACACACACAGAGAAACAAACAGTCTTAAATACTTACAGAGAGGCACAGAGATACAAACGGACCCACACAGGCGCCTCCCCAACAAAACCACACTCAGGTAGATGCACACAGACACACAAGCACCCCCCTCCCCACACACACACCCAACCGGGAAAACTCAGATACTCGCGACGCACACAGCTACAGACACGCTTAAGGACACCACGATGCGGGCTTTGCACACGCACACCGCACACAGTCCCTTTGGGGGCTCAGCCGCGGAGACACGCCACCCTGTCCCCGGACCCACCAGACGCCCGGGTGGCTCAGCCTCGGCCCACCCCGGCCGCCCCTCCCTCCGAGGAGGCCTCCCTTTCCCCCTCTATGCCTTCTCCTCCTCCTCCGCCTAAAGACGTACAAACCCTCCTCAGAATCAACCCCGGCTCCTGGCTCCTCCCTGCCCGCCCCCGGCTGCCGCTCCCCCATTCATTTTCGCCCGTCTCCGGGTAAGTCCCTCCCCCGGCGTAGGCCGGCCTCCGCCGCTCCCCTCCCGGAGACCGCGGTGCTCCTGGACTTCCCTCTCCATTCGCCCGCCGCCTCGCTCCCGGTCCCCACGACTGCGAACTGATCGGGCGCAGGGGGAGGAGGGAAGCGCAGGCGAGCGAGCGAGGGGGCGAGGGCGAGCGAGCCGGGCGGCCGAGCGAGTAGCGACCGCCTTCCGGAGCCCGGATTCATGCCTGTCCTCGGGACCAGCGAAGGGGACTTTACGGCTGAGTATGAGCCAGGCTGCTAGGAGCCAGGTACCCCCACGCCTGCAGTCCCCGCGCCGTTCCCGGTATGCGAGCTGGACGCAGGGCGCTCCCAAGTTCCCACCGAACCGAATAAAAAGCGTCCGCCAGCAGCTCTTCGCCAAAGACGGACATTGACTCCAGGTAAGGCGGCGCCGGGCGCAGCGCCCCGCAGCCCCGCTGCCCTTGGAGACGGCCCCGGACCGCATTCGGGGCGCCCCTCCCCTCCCCCTTCCCTCGACCGCCCGGCCGCCTCCAAGTCCTCAGGGTCCGGGGAGTGGGGGTTCTGTGTCTTCTGGGGCGCAAGGGGTTAAACGTGGGTTTTAGTAAGTGGTGTGTGTGCTCCCGCGCGCTCCCGACGTGTGTAACCACGGTGGGAACTTGATGAGCTAGTGTGTGTGTGCGTGTGCGGCGTCACTTGCGTTGGATGCGTGTGTTTGCGATTGTGTGTGTATGTGTGTGTGTGTGTGTGTGTGTGTGCGTGCGTGTGTGTGTAGGGAGGAAGGAAAGAGGTCCTATAACCTACTTAAGGCGAGATGTGTTTGTGCATGTTTCTACGTATGTGTTTGTATGTGCGCTGTGTGTCTTTTTAAGTAGGTCTCTCCAGCTTACAGGGAATGGGATCCTTCCTATAGGATCACGTAGCCATCGGGAAACCCGCTGTGGACTTCCTCTTGGGGCTTGGGGTTTGGGGTGTGGGAAGGACTATGGGGATAAAGATGGCACTTTATTTAGCTCAATATTGGTCCCTGTGAAGGAAAATTCCTCCAAACGATGGAGACCTGGTACACTTGGGCTCGCCGCTTAACGTGAAAGACAAATGGCCAACCTCTGAGGCAATGACACACTGTCACTTTAAATTCCACACTGGGCAGACTCCAGGATTCTGATGGGGATTTGGAGTCTGGGTAGTGGGTGACAGAGAAAGGGGAAGTCAGCGGTGGGCTCCTTATGCAAGGCTTGGTCTAGGATAGAGTCTACCCAGCCTCCGTTTGTAATCATAAGAGCGTAGCAGCACCTCCGGTTTCTGGTGCTTTTGGGGAGGATCTGGGCAAGTTTGCATGGATTCCCTAAAGGGAAACGAGAAAAGAGTGTTCGGGGACTTGCTCATCCATCCTAGTTACACAGGATCGCCGAGGAAATGTCATTTGGGGGCAGCTCTGAGTAATATGGAAGGAGACAGATGGGGTACTTCCTTAAGACAGAGTCCTTCCTTCCTTCCCCGTTTCAGATGGGCTTGAGAAGCCCCAAGACAGTCTCTCCCTACACGGAGCCTCTTCATGGCTGCACTGGAGTTAGGGGACATGGGAGAAGGCAGAGAGGTAGTGTGTGTGTGTGTGTGTGTGTGCACGTCCCAATGCTGAGGGAGACCTACAGTTTGGGAATGGGTTGTGCTTGGGGAGCTCATGGCAGAATATATGTGGCAGTAATTGACTTCAAACTGTGGTTGATCTGGACCTCACATCCCTTGCTTGGCTCCATCATACTGCCAAGGGCGCTGGGGTGTGCGTGTGGGGTGGAGGGCTATGGGAAGAATCTCATGGAGACAGTTCGGGCCAAGTCCCTCTTTCCTCCTCCTCCACCCTCCTGGGGGTGCTCTCTAGGTAAGTCCCCAGGCCACCCTGGCTAGGTCTCGCTGGGTTCAGGCTCTGGGGCCAGCCATTGATTTGATTCCCGACTGCCTCTGAAAGGCTTGTCCTACTCAGCAAAACTGCGGAGTTTTACTGCTGTTAGCATGGCTTCCAGACTCGGCAGCTGTTACTTCCCCAAGGTAAGAGGCAGCCAGTCTGCTCTGAGGCAGTGAGACTAAGGGAAGACAAGGGCCGAGAGGATGGGACACAGCCTTTTGTCCACCCTGGCTGGAAAGGGGCCACTGAGGAGACCTTTAGGGGAGAATAGAAGTAGAAATATAATTGTCTTAAAAAAGTATTATGTATGTCTGTATGTTATCTTCTGGGGAGACATAAAAGCAGACATGTGTTTGCAGTAACCTGCCCTGGCGGGTGGGTGACACTGCTACCTGCAGGCACTTGCAGACACACCAGTCTCTGGCCAGAGGCTGATAACTCAGGCTGAAGCCTTTTCATGGCCACAAGAAATCTGCTTCAGGAAGCTCATGTCAGAGCAGGGCTCCCTAGTTCATTCTGGGTGGCGGTGTGAAGGCAGAGGAGAAGATTCCATGTTAGGAACAGATCTCATGTGATCTCTTCTGGTTCATAGACAGTCAAAGCTGGAAGGAATATTAAAGAGCAGACAGGCAGGACTCTGTGGCCCAGAGAGGACATGAGAATTCCCCAACATTCTTTAATGAGTTGGTGGTATGTCCAGGGCTAGAACTTACGGTGCCTAACACCCAGGTCAGCGTCCTTCCCACTCCGCCATAGTGCTCAGGGATGATGTATTGCTCTCCACTCTTGTCCTGCCACTGTGCTCCCACCCTAGACAATCGCTTGTCTTCCCTCATCAAACTTAGCATCTCAGAGCTGTTCCATCTGGAATACATGACCCCAGAGAGAAGGTTCCAGTGCCTCAATCACTGTCCCTGCTAGACACACACACACACACACACACACACATGCACACACGCACACACCCCGTACATTCTTTCTCCAGTGCCTTCAGAGAATCACACATAGGCAGGGACCCAGTACTGACTATGACTGGTAGACAGGACCCAGCAGAGCTCCTGGACTCTACCTGAGCTCTTTATTAAAGAATGCTTTGCTTTTCAGAGAGTCAAGTGTACTCCCATCCACTGATGGAAATACTTCAAGCAAATTAATTTCTTTATATTAATGAGAATCTTGCCCCTATACAATTATACATATTGTAGTCACAGGAATATGCCTAAGCAAATGTGCATATATGCATTCATACACACATGTGCACACACAGATCTGGAAACCTTTCCTGTTTGCTGTGTTCCCCCAAAGGGAATTGCAGCCTCCGCAACAAATTATGTTCGCCTATATAAAGGCATTATTACCCACAGGATGACTAAGACTCATAGTCCCTGGGAAGGGGGAATCTAAGTCCCAGTAAAAGATGGGCTCTTGAGAAACCAGAATCAGGCCTGTGCAGAAGTGTGCTCCCAGACTCCTAGATGCTCATTTCAGGGTGCAGGTGAGCACTGAGAAAAAAAAACAGGAGTTTCAGGGCCATCTGCAGTAGAGCCTTTTCCATGCAGGCTTTTTTTCCCAGGGTTGGATGACACTTTAGCTCCCAGAAGGGGGAGCTGTGACTCCATTTCAACCAAGGAGAAGCAGCTCAGAGATTGCAAATTGGCTGTTGGGCCCCGTTGAGTTTCGATGGCCCAGCTCGGCTGAAATGAATACATGTGAAATGGCCCAGGTGGGGGTCCTTAAAAACACTCTTCCCTGGTCTGTCCAAATAAAACAACTCCTTCCTAGTGCTTGCACGAGTTTATGCTATTGACCACGAAATCTTATTTCTCCAGAAAGGTCTTTGCTTGAAGGGCCTACAGTTGTGCGAGGTAACGTTTTCTGTCCCCTCCCAGTTCTGTAGATGGAAACACCTGGACACTGAACGGGCCACTGAGGTTAAATGTCTCCTGATATTCTTTCCCTGCGTGCCTCTTGCTAAAATTCAGAGATTAACAAATTGGCCACTGAACCGGTTATATTAAAGACAAGATGGGGGACATGTGAAGAGGACAAATCTAAAAATGTCTTTCTCCAAATAATCCCCCTCATTGTTTCTCATCTTAACTCTTTCTGCAAGGAACACCTCTTTCTCTTCATCTCCCAGCTTTAGCTTCTACTTTTTGAAATCCTACCTGTTTTTCCACATCCAGCTCAAATTTGTCCAAAAATCATAGTTTGGGATTAATCTGTTTCTCCTCTCTTCTTCACAGAATTTTGTCTGAAACTTTATTTTAGCCTGTGAATCTGTTTGCTTTATATTGTAGTGCTGCAGGTATATATCTGACTTGCCCTCTTCTGTATCATCTTCCTCAGAGCATCTTTTTATCTCCAGGGACTGACACATAGTGATTGCTCTTGTAAATGTTTACTGTTGAGTTTGAAGTCCAGTCTCAACAGCAGCTGTAATCTCTCTTTCTCTTTCTGATAATTTACTCCATATTCATGCAAAACAATGCGATCATGGCTTCAAAATCACACCACCTATACAACAAGAACGGCACATCAGTGATTTTACAAACAGGTAAATTTATGTCCAACTTGGTAGGAAATATTATTCTGCTGTGTTCCAGGGTCTGTGTTCTCACTTAATCTTTGTTCCAGTGAGGCAGATACAGCCCTTTTGCAGAAGAGGAAAGTGAGACTCAATGCTGGCTAGGTCCTTCGCCCAAGGTCACATAATCAACAGAGCTAGAATTGGAACCTAGGCCCTCCTTGCTTCAGCATCTCTCCTCTTTCCAGTATACTCCTGAGTTAATGAAAACCCGTGTAGATGGCCAACAGGAATGGTCTGGCCGGTAGATCCTAGGAATTGGTGGGGGCGCATTATTAATGCTTTGCAATTGATGGAATTAGGGAGTCATTGGATCAAAGAATCTCACTGTTTTAAGATTTCTCAATAGCTAAACCTTTCTTAGTCAAGAATCCTTTTGGGAATAACCATCACACATGGCCACTCGGTCTCAATTTTAGTACCTTTAGCCACAGCAAACTCATTATCATACGACTAGCTGCTGGAATGTTTTCTCTTCTTGACCTTAAATGTGCCTTTCGGACATAAATCACACAACACAAGTGTAATTCTCTTCCAGTTATCAGTTCTTAACATCTCATGGGAGCATAACCATACCACCACAGTCATTGGCATTCTGACCAGAAGGGCCTGATCCACAAGGCTGTCTTTGGGAACATTTATTTACCTCTATCACCAGGCTGGCTCTTGTCTGTGGGCATTCTCTAGTTTATCTCACAGGGTTTAGAAGTTACAAAAGGGGGAGGGGGTGAGGAATGACCTAAAATTGAGTGAGGATTAAAAAGGGCATTGATTTATTCATTTATTCAACAGATATTTACTAGATGACTACTGTTTTTCAAGCATTGATAATGCTGTGAAATAGAACTTTTTTGTGGTAATGGGTATGTTCTCTGTGTTGTGCAGTAGAGCAGCCACTGAACACATGTGACTGCTGAGCACTTGCAATG